TTTGTCTGAGAATGAACTGTATTTTAATTGAAAATTCTCAAAAATAAATAAATAAACATAAGTTGCGAACAATACCACTTTGAAATGGCATGCTATAGATATGACCGATACTGTATGTATATTTCTCTTTATCCTGACTTTCTTCAATGTACTTTTCACTTTCTTTGTGGTAGTAACTATCCGATTTTCTATATCGACTATGGTTGTAACTGCACTACGATTACGAATACAGCCCGTTTAGCCGGGTACCTTTCAAATCATTGCAATTTAATAAGTTAATTAGGTAAACAAATATTTACATACTTGCATTTTCATTTTGCAATTTCCCCTTCCACTTTACGCTCTTAATTTCCCCTTGCTGGCAAATTCGTTTGTCCGCATGACCACAACTCGACACAAGTCATGATAATTCATATAAATTCGTACAAATATTGATAGCCCAACACTATGGCTGATGTTAAAAAAAAATATTTAATAATAAATAATAAGTCCTGAAGCAGAAGCTTTGAAAATATATTAAACGAAACGAACATTATTGACACAAATCATCAAGCTTGGTACTGAAACTAACATTTTCGGCTACTAAGAGCTTATATAAGCTACAATTTTTAAACCCTGATATAAAACACTAACAACCCAGCTGCTCCGAAGCATATCTTCCATGACCGTTTCTACAAAAAAAAAAAACAAAAAACAATATTAGTTTGGAGTTTGAGTTCACTTTCGGACATTCGAGAGATAGCAGCTAAATAGAAAATCACAAAAGAACAAATTAAAAACTATAGAAGCGTTTTATTGTTAACACTTGCGTAAAAATAAAATATCTCTGATTAAATTAAAGATTTCGAATTACAATTAGTCGACTGACCTCTTCTGGCTTCATATACATACATATGTACATGCATACATACATGTATATAACACTGTATGTACATATATGTTGCATGTTTATTGCGTGAATTGCAGTTAATTTGATTAATTTAATCGTTCAATCGATAGGCGCATGTCTCGGCGACAAGTGACAGAAATGTTTTACATATTCAATACCAACTATGAAAAAAAAGGAAAATATATCTACACAAAAAAATTTAATTCAAAGAGGAGGTTCAATTGATGAACGAAAGAAAAACAATCAAATTAAGTAGAAAATCAATTTAAGCACGGCGCAGAGGGAAAATGATTTCTGTAGTGCAAAATTGAATAATTTTTCACGTAAGTGAGGTTTAGATACATACATACATAGGAACATATGCACTTAATACCGTTACTCAAAAGGGAAGCGATTTTGAGAATTACCAACAAAGTCAACAGATTTCTGCAAATTTTCATATAAGAAGAACACAATCTAAAAGAAGTGAAATTACGAGTTATAAAAGCAAACAAAAGTTTGCATTAACCTTGAAGTAATTGTATATCGTTACCTTAATATAGAAAGGTCCTATCTCACATCGTAGCTGGAATACAAAAGGCCCTAACAAACTAAAATTTTGTATTGGGACTTATAATTCGATAAAATGCATCATAGTCAATGAAAAAGTTGATTTTGGATTTTTAGTTAGTTACGGCTTTATGTAGTTCACCGACGATGTGAGATAAGGGGCCGTATGCATAAAAACTAAGCAATTACTTTTTCTCAGATTTTCATACCTTTCACTTAAATTTATTCGAAAAAATTTAGTGAAAGGTCTGAAATTTTAAGAAAAAGCATTTGCTTAGGTTTTATGCATACGGCCCAAGGTCTTTCTATATTAAGCTAACGATACGGACATATGTATTTGGACTTACGTTGCAGCCGTTACGTCTTTTGTTGCTCAGAAAATTAATTTTTTAAAGCAGTATTGTAGTATTTTATTAAAAGAGATGGTGTTTAAAACTAAGATGTCTTAAATAAATGCAAAAAAAGATTTGAAATTAATATATATTGTGCAATAACATTTTCGAAACCAAAATACGAGGATTTGAATGAAATTCCTGAATTATAATCGCGATAAACCAAAATCCGTTACATTATGGATATGTTCGACGCCCGATAGAGTAAGTAGATACCCAGCAAACACAGTCCCTAACATTAGAGAAATTTGGATTTCTACATTTGATAACTAGGGTAATTCTCTAATCGTTCTCGAGTCGATGACGAAGTTAGAGAACTACATTAGAATTCGATTCGAGAATGATTAGAGAAACAACCGAAATTCAAATAAATGTAAATAAGCAATATTCAAAATGAATTAATCATAAATTGTTTTTAAGTTCAAAAATGTATTATTATTTTATTTGCAAATACATTTCATAAAAATTTTACAAACAAAACGTTTTATTTAATAAAGCAAAATAGCAGTTTAAAATTCACATTCGAATCCCATTAGAGATCAATATTAGAATTCGGTTAGAGAATTAATATTTTCTCGAGTCGAGAACTATGTCCCATTTTTGTTGAGATCGCTACGAGTCTCGATAGTTTCCCCCCCCCCCCGAGTCCTTCTCTAACGTTTGAGATTGGAGAATGTGGCTAGTTCTCCAATCATTCTCTAACCGATAACTAACCTCAATGTTTGCCGGGTAAGTAATAAAATTGAGGCTTCCGAAAATAATTTAACTACATACATACAATATAAGAAAATATGGTCCTACATAGCACATACATACATAGGTATCTTCATTTATTTGTGCAATATTGCGAAATTCACGATTTGGACAGCGAGAAATTATTTAAAATGAGAATATTGAGCTATCGCATAGAACGGAAGCTAGAAACATCATCAACTGGAAGAACTATTCGAATTTACTAAATTTACATCGAGAATACATCAACGACAAAATATGTAGCTCCTGTTGCTATGTGCTCCATTCATGCTGCTTCGCTTTCGCATACATTCGCCACACGCTCTCGCGATCAACCACTGCCTTTCCCTCGCCCACCGTTACAATACGAACACTACACACAGCATGAGTAGTACATATGACGCACATTCATTCATCACTACCAGAACAAAACTACATAAAAATAAGGATTTTACAATAGGATTTCGATGGCTTTAGGATATGTACTCTTTTTACTACAGCTGTCTCTCATTGGTGCTATTATTCTTATTCGATTTTGTATAAAATAAAGCCAGTTGTACCAGGAATACATGGCCTATCGCCTTGCCCATTGATATAACTTTACAACCGACACCCAAATTTACGCCATTGAATCCGCTAAATTTACGCTTATAATCAACTACTTTCATTAATAATATTAGAATTTGTTTACTCACCCGGATGCTTCTGCAAGTTGAGTCAGTTTTTGTGCTTTTTTATTGGTCCCGGACAGAAGAAAAATTTTCAACACGAATCGAACAAGAATTGTGACATGGAAGATTTTCGATTTTTCTATTTTGACACTTGCCAACAAACCGGTGGCGGCGTGAGCTTGGCTGTGATTTGAAATGTCAAATAAATCTGCGAAGTGCGAATTCGAAATGACAAAGGTTTTTGTCAAAACTAAAAACAGCTCTGAATAACAAAAATGTACGTTGCGTGAACTTCACGAGTAGAGGCCACCGAAGGAAGCATATCCTGCGCACCCCTTCGTTAACAGGTGGCTCTGAAAGCAGTTTGTCAACAAAAAATTCAAAATTACTTGCTTCTTTAAAACGATTGTAATATCTGCTTTCCATCGCCAGATGTCGCACAGACATGCGCCCAATTTATTCATATAAAAAATAGATGTCGCCCTCACGGATATGCGCAAAAAAACTAAAATTTTACTAAAATTAATAGAAAAAAACCGAGTACGCATTTTTTTAGTCCGTTCAGTTTTAGTAAATAATGGCAAGTCGTAGGTCTTACCATTGATTTTCTGTAAATTTTTTTGCAAAATTTTTCGCAAGCGAGCGGATATCAAACCTAGCGAGCAGAAAAGTTCTTTAGTCCATTCAATTAAAAATTAATTTATTTTGCTTCATTTAATTTTTTCAATTCAACTTATGGTTCACTCCCCGGTAATCGATACCGAATGAAACGAAAATAAACTTAAGAATTTGAGTGTATTATTTCTAGCAAGTAAACATTAAATAAATAAAACACGAAAATATTTAAATTAAATATTTATTCTTTACAAATGTACATTATTTACACCAAAAATATCACCCTGCACAACTCTGATTGGGATACATATGACCCAACTCAAGGTATCGATGATGATCGTTGTAAATAACGAGATACCAATTTTTTGGATGTCCACATATCATTGGCTATATGTATATCAAACCCAAATATGCAAAAATTATGTTTGTACTTACATA